AGTAAATGATACTTTGCATTTGACCACTTCAAGCCACTTTTACACAGTGTACTCCACAGTTAAACAACTGTGTCTTTTTATCAATTTACACAAATCTTAAGAGTTTCATATTACACCACTATGGCTTAGGTTTTCTTCATTGGTTTTTTACTTACTGTAAGATTTCTTCATTTATTTAAGAATGGAATGGGTAGAACTGCATTCCTCAAACTCATTATGCTTAAGTACATCCAAGAACTTGAGGACAGAGTACATATTCCTTTACTGATGCTCACCTACATTATGCAGTTGTAAGCACTTCAAAGACAGCCTAACCCAGAGATTATTTTTAACTACTTTTAATTGGGTTTTTTTAGGCATAGAAATAGGTTTTTTTTCCTTTTTTTAAGAAAAAGAAAATCTGGGGGGCACCTGGGTGGCTGAGTCGGTTTTTGTGTTTACAAGTCTTCATCTCACAGTTTGTGAGGTCGACCCCCGCATGAGGCTCTGTGCTGAGAGCACAGAGCCTGCTTGGGAGTCTCTTTCCTCAAGGAAGGAAGGAAGGAAGGAAGGAAGGGAGGAAGGAAGGAAGGAAGGAAGGAAGGAAGGAAGGAAAAGAAAGAAAGAAAAAGAAAGAAACAAAGAAAGAAAGGAAGAAAGAAAAGAAAGAAAAAGAGGAAAGAAAAAATTAACTTGAATAGTTTCCATTTAAAGTAAGAACAAATCAGGGGCACCTGGGCGGCTCAGTCAGCTAGGCATCCGACTTCCGCTCAGGTCAGGATCTTACGGTCATGAGTTCCAGCTCTGAGTCAGGTTGTGTCCTGACAGCTTACAGCCTGGGGCCTGCTTTGAATTGTGTCTCCCTCTCTCTCCGCCCCTCCCCTGCTCACAATGTCTGTCTGTCTCTCTCTCTTTCTCTCTTTCTCTCTCTCTCAAAAAGAAACATTAAAGAAAAAAAATTTTTAATAAAATAAAAACATCATATAAAAATCTTGCTACAAAGGAACAACATACTTGTGATCTCATGTCCACACTGACTGGAAAGGGAGGCATTATCCAATGACTATCAGATGTCGACCAGCCCAAGGCCCAATTTCTAGGCCCTAAACCAACACACACACACAACCTTGGCACCCACACAACCTTCCCCATATAAACATCCAATACTTTAAACTCCCAACTGTGCAAAGTTCCAAATTTCTAACAATTATTAACACACCAGCCACTGAAACGGGGAAAGATCCCACAGGCCATTTTACTGTCTCCCTCTTTCCAGCAGGAGAAAAAAAAGTCCCTTAAGAATTGTAATTTGGACATGCTCTACCTTTAGGCTCTCAACTTTATTTTCTGCCGGAAGTAGTCTAACAGTTCAACAGACGGATAGTGAAAACAATGGAAGAGGACAGAACAAATTAGGAGAAACTAAAAGAGAATCAACATTCATTGTTGACACGGGCACTGTAAATGGTACTAGGCACTTTGCACTAATTTTTTTTTTTAAACGTTTATTTATTTTTGAGACAGAGAGAGACAGAGCATGAACGGGGGAGGGGCAGAGAGAGAGGGAGACACAGAACCGGAAGCAGGCTCCAGGCTCTGAGCCATCAGCCCAGAGTCCGACGCGGGGCTCGAACTCAAGGAACGTGAGATCATGACCTGAGCTGAAGTCGGACGCTTAACCGACTGAGCCACCCAGGCGCCCCAGCACTAATTATTTAAACCAACAATAGACCTACAAAACAGGCAGTATCCCCATTTTATAGATAAAAAACATATTCTGCAAGATTTAACTGACTTGCCCAAGGTAAGGAGCAAACTCAGGGTTCAACCCTAAAGCTACCTAGCTACAGAGGGTTTTCCTTTAACAACCCTACTGACTTCCTTAAGAGTCAAAGGATACAGCCCTTAGTATCTTTCCACAGCCATTCCTTCCCTGCTTTCTTTACCTTGGCTACTCTTAAAACTGGCCTCCATGGGGCATGTGGATGGATCAGTTAAGCTTAAGCCTCTTGGTTTCTGCTCAGGGCAAGATCTAAGGAGAAATCAAGCCCCAAGTCAGGCTCCATGCTAACAGTATTGAGCCTTCTTGGGATTCTCTTTCCCTCTCCCTGCCCCTCCCCTACTCACACACTCTCAAAATAAAACAATAACTTAGGAAAAAAAACAAAACAAAACTGGCCTCCATCTTAGCAACCAACTACCTCATTACATACCTAACACCACTGTGCTGTCAAGTTGCTACTGGTGTTTTCAACAACATCAAAACAATCCATCTCTCTCCTTCCCTCCCCTACCTCTACCCATTAACTAGAAATGTCATCTATACCCCAATATTTAGCTTTATTATCTAACATTAGATCTGGAGAAGTAGTCTGAGGTCAAGTACAAATCCTTCATTTTTCAGAAAAGGATAACCTGTGCCTAGAAAGGTTATATTTTGAAAAAATCTGTATCTTCTAATCGCAGGAGGTTCTTCCTGAACACTGATGGTCATGGCTGCATTTAAAAAGCTTCCTCTCAGGGTGCCTGGCTGGCTCAGTCGGTTAAGCTTCCAACTTCGGCTCAGGTCATGATCTCATGATTAAAGCCTCACATCAGCTCTCTGCTGTCAGGACGGAGCCTGCTTTGAATCCTCTGTCCTCCTCTCTCTCTGCCCTCCCCCTGCTCATTCTCTCTCTCAAAATAAATAAACTTAAAAAAAATTTTTAAAGCCACCTCTTTGCTGAAGATAATAGCATTCTATTCCATTCTCAAATCTGTTCTATTCTCAAATCTCTTCTGCTAGAGATCAATGCCAGGATTTGCTTCTAAGACACATATTTTTAATTCTAAATGCAGAGATCGTGAATTTACAGCAACTAAGCAAGTAAGCTTTGGGAGCTATAGTTAAACTGCCTGGAACTAGAATATTCTAAGAAACAAGTTACATATCTCAATAACCACAAGTCTGAAGGATTCAAAGGCTGACAAATAGCAATTCTGAGAGGTTACCAATTTATTTCAGGATGAATCACACAGAAAAGCAAGCCTGTGAGGTGGTCCAGAAAGCCTGTAAAGTCATGAAACATGGACCTGTAGCAAGACTGTAAACATAAAAATGAAGTCAGGTCCATCAAGGCAACCAAGTGAAGAAAGTAGAGATTGGGGCAAGAGGAATGAAGTGGGGAAAAGCTTGGGACCTGGTACACACCTCATCCGTAGCAGTGTTTGACTATTTAAGAAGGTCCATTACTAAACACCGTGAATGGCACACGGAAGTACAGTATTATGTAATGAGTGAACATATGCGGCCAATTACAAAATGGTACAAAAGAACACCCTGGGAACTCAAAATTTGCTGGGAGAGAGACCTGTCCTGTAGAAAATGTGTCCTCATGCTATGGAAACAGAGCTCATGGGATTGCTGTATAACAAACTGCACTGGACACTGAACATGGACTCTGGAAGCCATACACTAGCTGTGTAATTCTGAGCAAGCCCGTTTCACCTTTCTTTGGTTCAGTTTCCCAGTCTCGAAAGGTGTGGGCAAAGTGGAGATAACATGCAAAAAGGATTCAAAGCTGACACAAATTCAAATGCCTGAGTAACATCACCTCTTGCAAGTCTCATAAGCAATCTCAAATTTAATAGGCCCAAGAGGAAATTTTCAATCATCCCCCAAAACCTGCTCATCTTTCCTATCTGTTTCCATACTCTAGAAGCATTCTTGCTTTCTCCACATCCAATTCATCTCCCAGTCCTATCCATTCTGACCCCCATATATCATTCACTTTTACCTGCACTGTCATCACCCTAGTTTAAACCACAATTATCTCTCACATGAATGACTGGAGCAGCCAAAATGATCCCTAGGCTTCCACTTCAGCTCTCTCAAATACAAACAGAACCATATTCTTAAAAACGTAACTGTACTTTCATGTCATTTCCCATCTAAACCCTGTAAGCTGTCCACTGTTCTCTAGAGAAAGAGGTCAAACTCCTAAACCTGGTTTTCAAGGCTCTAAATGATCTGCCCTCTGTCTCAAGCCACTTTCCCCATTCCTGATCTTGCTCCAGCACATTGGCTTTTATGCAGTCACTCGAAAGTGTTATGCTGCCTCCCGACAAACTCCTCATTCTTTGGGGTTCATTCCTAAATTAGGCTCTTTTTTTACACGCTTTTATTACACTCTCACAGCATTCCGAGGTACCTACGTTATTTATACAATTATTATACAAAAGCGTACAATCACAAATGGTTATAAACCCAACGAAACTAAAAGCTTCACGAAGGTAGGCACTATTCTATCCGGTTCACCTCAGCATCCTCAGGTAAACTGGATCTGGCACACAGCTCGGGCCTAAATATTTGAATAAATCCACTGAGGTGAAGAGGGACATAGTCAACTAAAAATCTCAATTAAAAAAAAATAAAGTTCTAACTTATACAATTGCCCATTTTGCTTCAACGCTCACCACCTCCGTTCTCAAAAGCTCAGACCAAAATCAAATACTTCAAGGTTTCCAACCTCCCGCAACCCCGGCTTTCTCCTCCCATCACCATAAAGTTCCACGTCCAAAATGAACCCATCCTAGCACTGAGACGAGCTGGAACCTGCTCCCTGCCCCTGCGGGTGGCGGGGACACGGTCGACCCGGGGAAAGTTTCCTAATCCGGACACCCGGGCTGGGAGCCTGAACACTAGTCCGCGCAGCAGTGACGCACGTCGGCAGAAGCACTTCGTCAGCTATGAAGCCACGAAGCCTAAGGCGTTTCTTTCAGACTTCTCAGACGCAATTCAAGTCATGCGTCCCAGCCTGAGCGGTTGGCCGCGCGTCGCAGACCTTCAGACGCCCACCAGAATCACGAAGGAAGGACTGAAAAGACGACGACCCTTGCGCCTCGCCCTTTAAAAAACACCCCCAATCAAGGCTGGCCGGGAGCTGAGTAAATCCTCGCGAGAATCACCGGCTTCCGCCCGCTTCCTCCACCCGGCTAGCGGGACCGGAAGGAAGGCGCCACTTCCCCGCCCCGGGACCTACCTCACAAGGCAGCGCGAACCCAGCCGTGACCAATCAGAGGGCTCATTGTAGGCCGCGGCGCGGAGGGCCAATGGAAAGTCGCGACGCGCGCAGAGCTTCCCCTCTTCCGCACCGGCCCCCTCCCTTCCGCCCGCCGACTTCCACTTAGCCTCTGGCGGAGGAAGTGATGTCACAGGCCCCATGTGAGCGGATTGCAACACATGCAGCTGCCTGGAGAGAGGGAGCCGGTGTCCTACGTCAGAGCCGCCGCCGCGGAGCCGCCGCCGGGGAGGAGCAGCCGCTGCCGCCCAGGACTGGGCCCTTAGGTAAGCCGAGGGAGGGAAAAGCCAGCGACCGCCGCGGCGGGCTGCGCGGGGCAGAAAGAAGAGGGCCTCTCGGGGGTGGCAAGGAAGGGGGCCGCTCTGCCCCAGCGGCGGCGCTAACTCTGTGGTCTTGGTGTCTCCGGGCCCCGCCGGGCCGCTCTAGGGAGGAGGAGGCGAGAAGATGGCGGACGACCCCAGTGCTGCCGATAGGAACGTGGAGATCTGGAAGATCAAGAAGCTCATCAAGAGCTTGGAGGCGGCCCGCGGGTGAGCGCCGCGTCCGGCCCCCCCGTGCCCTCTTGGTTCCCGGACCCCTCAGGATGGCCGCCCCCGCGCCGCATGGCCGGATGAGGAGAACCAGGCACTAGTCAACTCCCGCCTTCTGGATCTCTGGGTAGTAGCCCCCGACCCAGGGGCGAGGGTCTGCGCGGTTGGTCCGAGAAGGGATCCTTCCCCTGCTTCGGGGCATAAGGGGCCCCGCTCCCGGGTCTCGGACCACTTAACCCCTTACGTGAGAGGTCATTGCTACTTTTGAATCTCTCCCAGGCACTTGAATCCAACACTTCCCTCTTCGACTCCAGGTGCTGCCACCCTACTCGGGTACTTGGGGAGAAAGGGCTCGGCCTTCCCTTCCGAACGCTCTTCCCTGATTTCCTCTCTTCTTCCTTCATGTGTCTCAGCCATACCTTATTAAAATGGCCTCTCCCTCCTGTTTTTCTGAGACCCGAGTGGGTGAAGTTTGGATGGGACAGGACGGAGACGTGGTCAGGGACAACCTCTTTCTGACTTCCTCTGATATCTCTGGGTCTTCCAGCTCTTCCCAGATGACTTCCCCCAAGTCCTCTAGTTACCCCCGGAGCTTCCTGGTTTTAGCTTTTAAAGTATCCGCCTATAAATTGAAAATGCCAACATATGCGGGGTCGGATAGAAGGGACATTTTGGTTGCCTGGGTCTGTATATCCAGGAGAAATCCGGATCATGGGGCAGTTGATGTGAACTGTTAACAGGGTCGTTTTTCTCCTCTCTCTGGAACTTTCAGGGATAGAGGTTCCTGATGTACTAGTGCTTGTTGAAATTCATAACTGAATTAGATGGGCTTTGGGTCTCCTTTTGTAAATTTTGTGGATGTGCACTATGGAAATGTTATATTGAAACTGGGTGTATATGCTCCTTTTAGGTTAACAAAGAATTACTTGGTAAAGTTGTGTCAGAGGTACTCCCCTTTTCTCACTTTATTTTGTTCTTTTTCCAGTTGTAGGAACTTTTTGGTTACAGGAAGTGGCCCAAAAAAGCATTTGGAACATGACATATTTGTATGTTTGAGCATTCTTAGAATAGCAGAGTGCCTTGCCCCAGGCCATTTTGAAGGTTTGTTTTCAGCACAAGAATTGTGCATTCTGGTTTCCAGTCCAGGTTTGTCTTTGATTGGTTGGCTTACAATGATAGATTAATTAAGCTTTTAATTGTTACCCTATGAAATAAGGTGTACTTAGTTACACCAAAGAGCTAGGGTTGATAATTGGTTTTGCCCTTGTGTCTTGTTCTTACTAAGTGACATTTCTGCTTGAAATGAAGCTTCTGAAAGTTTGGCTCAGTTCAGTGACTTGGGCTTTTGCTAACTCTTTCCCTGATGGAAATTGAAGGTGGCAGCTTATTTTTTTAAGTTTGTTTCTTTGAACTTAATAAAATACTCAGACCTATATAATAATCTTACAGGAACTTGAACCCAGATGGTTCTGTGCCATATGGTAAATTGAATAATTATTCCCCAAGTGTGAGCACATTATATTACAGGAGGGGTAATACAGGTCCTGACCCATTATGTCTGATGCATTACTAGGAATTAGCTAGCCAGGTTCTTTCATTTCACTGGGATTTTCTGTTGTGTTACTTTCAATTGAGTATGGCTTTTATGCATCATTGATGCAGTGTTTAAAGTTGGATATGACCTGTAGATTTGTTCTCTTACTACTTTAATTTGGAGGCAGGTTCACACATTAGAAACTGCATACGTTATATTCTCTTAGGAAGTCTAAAATAAATTAACGATTATAATTTATTGTCTGAGTGTAGTAACATTAAAAATAAAACATTGCATGTAATAACAGCATTTCTTTCTACGGCTTGATGAAGGAAGTTAATTCTTATATTTGTCCCTTGCCATGTTACCTAGCCACTTGAAACCATTAAGCTCCTCTTTACAGCTTTTAAAGGCTTTATCCCTTTATTAGCAAAGTTCAGTAAAGTTTAAAGCTCACCAAAAATGAGGTTCTTAGTGACTACTTTTTAGTGATGAAGTTAGTTTGGACATTTTAGACCAGAATTAAAGCTTTCTCAAATAGCTGGGAGTAGTCTTCCTTTAAACAAATTATGTGGTTGATAATCATTTCCTACTTTGCTTTTATTCAGGAATTGATTGCATCTTAATCCCATGAAAATTTTAAATCTTGGCTACTTCTGGGTATTAGTAGAGTCAACAAGTGTATTCAGCTTGCTTCAGAAGTTTCCCAGTACATACCAATTTCTTTTCAGGAATAGCAAGATTTCATGTTCATGGCTGAACTGTATTAAAGTCTGACTCAGATTATCTTAGTGTATGTACAGTGAGAAATGTTTTCTTAACACTAAGATATTTTAAGAAGTGTAATGACATTTAAAGACAAACTGAATGACCAAATGAATCTATACGTACTGGTGTTGGGCAGCCTGTGGATTTAAGGAGAAAACTGAAAATGTTCAAGCATGGTTATTAGCACTAGATAGTGAAATTTACTGGTGGATAATAGAATTGTTTTTGAAACAAATTTTTTCCCCTCCCAGTAGTGTAGAATTCTGGGCATGAAAATCAGATTGGTTTGTTTTTAACAGCTATAAAGTATGGTGTGATAAGAGTAATTTTGAAATTGAGTCAATTTGTGATTATCTTTTGATAATATTACCCATATTTAGCTTTAAAAGGGAACTGCTGCAAAATGGACTCACTAATTAAGTACATCTGAACAGAGTGAAGTTTCTAAGCACATACTTTATGGAGTAGTTAGTATGTTCTAGACACTGTTAAGCAGTACGCTACTTCATTAATCCTGGCAGAAAGTGTTGACACCATTTGATAGCCAAGGCAATGGAGGCTGAGAGGTTAAATAACTTGGTATCTGAAGTGTAGCAGAGCCCAGGGCTTGAACTAGTGTGTTACACAGTGCAGTGGATATATTAAATGTTTTCAAAAAATATAAGGCTGGATTGACTCAAATTGTAATCTAAGCTATAACAGCCTTTTAATATTGTCATATCTGTGGAAGAGCATTTATAAGAGCCAAAATGACTAACATAGGGAACTTGGCCAGGAGTCTTTTTGTAGCCCACAATGTACTTAATTTTCTAAATTGAAAGAAGTATTAGTCATATAACTTAAATTTAAGTTAGCTGAAACAGACCTATTTAGTATCATGTAAGTTTAGTTGAATGTTAGTTTTTGTGTGTGTGTTAAATAATATGCCACTTTTTTTGGTATACGTACTCCCACTTAATGTTAGTGGAAGTTCTTCCTGGTTGATGATTCTCCATCGTTGGCTTAATGGGGACAAATGTGTATGTAAGCCAAAACTGGAACTAGAGCCATGTGAATGGAACTGTGGTTGTGGGTATTCTGGGTAAGGAACTAAAGCAAGTGGAATATAATGTTACAAGAAAGGTAGGTGGGAAATTTTTGGGGGGTGGGTTTTTTTCCTGCTAATGTTTTTTTGAACCGTCAAGAAATAGCCCCAGAAATAAGGATGGAAGCTTTATAGTTTTCAGGTAATAAAATCATTGCCAGAGCCTGTTATAGCCAAGGACAATGGTACATGTGAGAGACAAGGTTAGTTTGGGCTAAATTGCATCTGTAGGTGTCAGAATACTTTTTCACTTATTTTGATGAGGGAACCTTGTATATGTCAGAAATAATGAAGGCTCAAATAACCCTTGTTTGAAGATCTGCACAGTTTGTAAACTTTATTTAGGTCTTCTGTAGTGGTCTTTGGCATTTTTAAATTTTCCTGTTTAATTAAAAAACAATTTGTAGATATTTTGACTTTGAAGAAAATAGAAATAATTTGGCTATATACATCACTGTCTTTTCTTTCCCAAAATATAGCTTCTTTTCTGCTCTACTCTTAAATAGTTCTGAAACCAAATTGGGAAGAGGGTCCCACACCAAGCATTTTTCCAGTCTTAGAGGATAACAGCTGAATGTCCTACAGTTTAATTCTAGTATTACATAAACTTATCATCTGATCCCCTAAGGTAAAGTGTTCAGTCCCATAAGACTGCCCCCATTTGTGGTAAGTCTGGGCTTCCCCTACTTCTGACCTACAGGCTTTAAATTGGGGGCTTAATGATTTGCTAGAATGGCCCGCAGAACTTAGGGAAATACTCTACTTAGATTTACTGATATATTATAAAGGATACAAATGAAGAGTACTTAGGGTTAGGTCCAGAAGCATCTGAGTATAGGAGCTTCTGTCCCTGTGGAACTGGGGCATACATCCTAGGTTAACCAACCCAGACGTTCACTAAATCTTGTTCAAGACATTATAAAACTTAATCTGCAGATTGTCCCTCCTTCATGCTCCAAACCTTACCCAGAGCTCTTTGGATGGAGCTGAAAGTTCTAACCCTCAGGTAGTTACCTGGCCTTTCTGGTGACCCCCACCCCATTCTGAGACCCACCGTTAGTCACTTCATTAATAAGTCTGGTGTGCTCTTTAGAGACTCCTTATGAGTAACAAAAACCTCCCATAACCTAGGAAATTCTAAGGGTTT